TAATTTGTTTTTCAATTTCCACAAGACACATTCTGCAATTTCCTGCCACAGCTAAACGTTCGTGGTAACAAAATCTTGGAATCTCTACTCCCACTTTGGCAGCTGCCTAAACAAACAAAAAAGCAAAGGTAAACTTCAAGTACATTTTCATCACTAAATATTTTGCTTAAGTTATAAGGTACAAAATTAAGATACAAACGACACTTTGTACCTGCAGAACGGTTGTTCCTGGTGGAACCTGAACTGGCTTATCATCTATGAATACTTCCACCAATTCTTGCTGTAACTTCGACGACGTTGTATGCAACCTCGCGACAGAGATTCTACCATTCTGTAGTCCTGCGGTCAACTTTATCACAGGTAATCTCAACATTTTGGTCCTACTATCCCGTTACGCGTTGAGGTTACGCTGTTATGTAAGAAAATGTCACAGTTTCAAACTTCCAACAACAAACATAATAACCTGATTTATGTGATAATCTAAATAACGTAATAATCAATAAAATATTTTTATTTTTCTTAATAACTGTTAAGTGGACATATCAAGCATAAAAGTAATGAAGATACTTTATCGTCATAGAATACGAGATGTAAATTATGTCGTAATTTACTATATGAAAAATTACCAAATGTCCGGCCGTTCCACAAAACTTCTCCCAGAACTTCGGAACGCCCAGAACGGACGATCTACAAGATCAATCCAAAATAGAATCCGCCATAAACAACGCGCATATTCAAGTACACATTGCCAGACACGTATGACACGTTCTTTGCGACATCTGCTAGAAAAAATTAATCTGATATAAATAGTCTGCTAATTACGTACGTTGTATTCAAAAAATAATCTACGATACGATAATTAAAAAATAATTTACACGTGCATAAATGTATAGATATGTTATACGCACATGTTTTCATTCAATTCTCAAAGAAACGAAACAATCAAATGTATGAATCATTAATAAACGAAAACGCAGATTTTGCAAAAGAGGAAGAAGACAATGTGAAATTAATAGATTTTCTTTCTTTTTACGAACAAGCATAGAAAATTTAAAAAAAAAAAAAAAACGAAATGAGTAAAACAAATATCCAACGAATTTGTAAAATCAGAATGATCGAATCTTGAGTTTGACAATAATCCCGCGATTAAATAAGAAGTCGCAATTTAAAATCGGTCGCTAGTTATTTCGTTATTTCCCTAAGAATGGCACACCGGAACAACGTCACGTTGCGACGAAATAATGGACCGTCAAACTTTTCACTGTATATAGCTATATCTTCCGGCGAGAGAGCTAAAGGGGAGTTTATTATCGGTAACTTCAGTCAGTTGTCCCGGTTCTACCTATATAATTTCCCCGCAATGGCTATCGGCGATCTGAAAACGGACAAGGGTATCAAAGACTTAAATTCCTTTTTAGCAGATCGTAGTTACATCGAAGGGTAAGTGCAGCTCTCTGCCCATACGAACGATCTATATCGAGATGCACGTGGTTCTTTGCTCGCCGTAATTTACTCGAAGATCGTCAAACTATTGATACTTCATCTCCCTTCTCTCTTTCGCGATTTCTCTTATTTTTATACCACAGTCTGCATACTGAATTACATTTGACGAGATACATTTTGTATTTAACGCATTTAGCGTGCGTTGGTTCATCTTGATCGCGTATATTGAAACGTACATGAATTGTATCGTGATGTGATGGGAAGGATGCGAGAGATCACGCATACTGTATCTTCTTTTGTTTTTGCATTACGCGAGAAAAAAGTATACTAAACACACGCGTATGCTTTTATAGGAATGTCAAACGAAGCTCGTTGTGTTTTTAAGGTGGCAACCCACTCAGGCAGATGTAGTAGTCCTAGAAGCGTTAGGCAAAGTTCCAACATCCTCCAATCCTCACGTTTTACGATGGTATAATCACATCAAATCATACGATTTAAAGACACTTCCGGGAGAAAGAAAAGCGCCTGTTATCTTAAGTAGCAATAATTCTGCTAACGTGACAGCCGCCAAAAGTGAGGACGACGATGATAAAGACGTGGACCTCTTCGAGTCGGACGAAGAGGAAGACGCGGAGGCCGCCCGGCTCAGGGAAGAACGATTGAAAGCTTACGAGGAGAAGAAGTCCAGAAAGCCGGCGCCTGTCGCAAAGTCCAGTATTGTGTTGGACGTTAAGCCGTGGGACGATGAGACTGACATGGATGCTATGGAGAAAGCTGTGAGATCTATTCAGATGGATGGTCTAATTTGGGCGGCATGTAAATTCTTTGACAGTTTTCATTATCAAGTAAACAAATTCAATTACTTGCAGACTTGTCAGTTTCATGCGTATTGTGTTTCCAGCTAAATTGGTGGCAGTCGGCTATGGCATTCACAAGTTCAGGATAATGTGCGTGATAGAGGACGACAAGGTTTCTGTAGACTGGCTGATAGAACAGATAGAAAGTTTCGAGGAGTTCGTTCAGTCCGTGGACATAGAGTCATTCAACAAACTATAAACGATTGTTTCTGTCTATTATCTTTATTGTAAACTTAATAAATAATAATCATTGTTTGTATATACAATGTTACCGAATAAGAAGAATAACTGTCGCAATTTTAGACGTCACTGCTAGTTTCAGTGTTTTGATTGGATTTCAACTGATTGACAGTTTTAACTATTTATTTTGATTACGCCGCTTTTATACTTGAAAAGAGAAGATGGACGTTCTCTTCTATGTATGATTAATCTCTTGAACAATATAGGTTTGAACAAGTTTGAATGTAGTTTCAGTTTTGCATGTGTATATACGAATTTCTCCTTGAGAAGTTTCACGTCATCAGTGCAAATTTTGAATCAATTTATTCGGTTTTGTTATAATACCTAATATTTTTCTTCTCTCTTGTTCCTTGTGTCAAGAAAATTTCAATAGTAAATGCACTAGTAGGTGTATCGTTCGAAATAAGATTCTTGAACGATAACTAAACAATAGGCTATAGTAGTATGTAGTTCATTTTTAATTGACTATACAAATATACTATGCTTATATGTTTTATTTTTTTTACTTTTGTTGTTGACGAGAGAAATTAGAAAGTGTACTTTAGTTTGAAAAATCTAAAAAATTGTCAATTTGACTAGGTAGTTATGTTTGGAGTTTTGAGTACAGATTTTATTCACAATTATATGATAAAATCAGTTTAAAAGCTTCTTAAGTAAAACTACGTTGTTTCAAAAAATATTAATCAAGCATATTATGTAAATATGTAAGGTAATCATGTCAGTGACATTGTATCCATTATTAATCATGAATTAGATAGTTTAACTGTTTAGTTAAATAACTGAAAAATTGATATGAGAGTATGTATGTCACAAATGAATAGTTTAATAATTATACGAGTATTTTTTTTTACGTTACACGTGTTCCCTGATTTTTATTATCAAAAAAATAGTCTCGAGTAGAAGATCTTTTCTTCATTCACATGTCACTGTTAGAAGAAACAAATAGTTTAGGGAGAATTCACTAGATTTAGTATTATTTTCTTGCGTTTTTTTTTTTTTTTTTTTAATCACTCTTAATATAAAAGACGTGTATACAGAAGTGATCATCTTATTCATAAAATGAACGATACTATCATTAATCTGTCTTAAATGTATCTCTGGATGACTATATAATATTTTTGTACTAAAACAATACGCTTTTAATCTGAGAATTTTGAATAGATGAAAAACTCAGATTTAATCAGATTTATTTCAATAAAAATTCTAACGTTGAATGGAAATTATCACCATAGTTAAATTGCCAAGTTCTTCTGTACGTTTTTTACCTACCAGAGATATCCTTACAATGCAAGGCCGTTTGTCAGATGTTTTGCTGATTAAGTGTTTAGTCGTTGCTATTTTATTGTTAAGAGTTAAGTATCGCCATAAATATTCAAACATAAAACGTAGCTTTGTCCTGTGTGCTTGATTCTAATGATTAGAATTTTCATTAATTTTCGTAATCGTGAGGTTTATATTATATAAACCTCATGATATATATATATATATATGTATATATATATATATAATATATGGTATTTCGTTATATTTAGTAACTCTGCATCTCACAACTGACGTCATGTGATAGTTCCGTTTGTTACGAATGACATCATTATGATCTTGCAGCAAAGTACGATAGAATATGAAATTACAATGAGACACGTATTCATTCCTTTAGACTTCAGAATATCTAAATTATATTTTGCTAATATCTAGTTACAATGATAGTTGCATCTTTCACATTACAATGTAAGAAATATTAAAAATTTTACAAATAATGTAAAAAATATTGTCTGTTACATGGACTACGTATCGAAAGCGTACATTGTAAAAAATAGAAATTTTTTCAAATTATGTGAAAAATATTATCCCCTGTATCAACTGTACACGTATTGAAGCGTGAAAAATTATATTATATTATCATAATTATTTTATTGTTTTTATCGTGAAATTGCAAAATGTAAAAGTTTCTTTTTTCCAAGAAAATGAATAATATAGTTAATCGAGCTAACTCTAACCGAATAAAACTAACTCTAACCGAAAGATTCGACGAAGAACAGGAAAAAAATAAGAGAAGAGAAACGAAAAGAAAGAAAAACCGTAAAAGCTCTGAGATGGCTGTATTGGCTCGAAATCCGGTTTCGGTATACTTTCTGTCTCGTGAAATAAATATCGTGTATAAAGAGGCACAGTGTTTGAAAGAACAAAGAAGGCGGACAAAATGAGAAATTACTTATGAAAATAAGTAATTTCGATTTTAAACAAAATATGATTGTTCACCACCTAATCAAAATAATAATTTATCCTCAGATCTGCCAAACTAAAGCGCAATTATATATAATCGTGTAATTAAAAATCTTATATAAATATATATGTATATATACGTATATCATCAGATTGAAGTTTCATATTCTTCAAATAGATTTTAATTACAGTAGCTATAAATACTTGCACATGTCTGTATTTTCCAATGGAACGTTTTACGTTTACTTATGAAACATATATAAAAGTAGTACTAAATTTGGGATATAGATTTCATTGATTTAGAGCTAAATTAGACTAAATAGAAACTAAATTAAACACTTGAGTTTTGTAACTACTGGATGTTGCAACATACCATACACTTAAGTTTAAGTACATGCTTAAGGTATTATGCGATTCCTCAAGAATATACTTTATTAATCTTAGTTTGTGACAATTCTTGACACAATAATCCAGGGAAAGCTTAAAATATAACCTTTTTTTTCCAAAAGGCAAAAAGCGTATGTATATGTTGAAATTAATGTTATATATTAATAGATATTATATTATATTATATTGCAGATATTACTTCAGTATCTATTCATATATTGAAATATCTGTTGCAAGTAATATATAATACCTCTCACAAATAAAATCATTGATACTTTTAATTCGGCTGTTTTTGTCCCTCTGCTGCGTGCCTCGGCGTCTCGACAAATTGAATTTTAAATTAACCTCTCCTTTTTTGATCAACGATGTTTTCCATGAGATAGTCCTTGTCACTGACCTTTATTAAAATCCCCACCTCCGCAAGTGACATCGTGCGACAATTCTCTTGTATATAAAAGAGAACGTTATGAATATCGCGTGAATTTCGTTCCGCACGTCGCCACGATATTTTCGGATTATTAACAGAAGTGGAAATTCAACTGAAATTAAATTGATTTGTTTCTTGGGGAAAAAGAGGCCAATTACAGCGAGGATGGTCTTTTTATTGAATATTTTCATCATCACGTGTTTATCGTTCCCATCTTTGATATATGGTAAGTCTAGCATATTTTAATTTTGATTGCAAAAAAGAAATTAATTCTGTGCTCGTGATCGAAATTTGGCGATCGTTGTTTACTTTTATGAACAATTATGTCTTTAATCGAATAAATCGAGTCAGTGTACATTCGATTTATATCGACTGATTTTTAAACTACCAACTTTTACAAGATCGTCACCTTTTTGACAAACGACAACTTCGGAACGTATCAAATGTAATATATAAGGTCCCTTGAAATTATTTTTAATTTCTTCAATTCAAATTGGTGAATAATCAAAATTTAATTGCTAATGTACTATCCGAATGGTACGCGAATTGTATCTTTCTTTTTTTCAAACGGTGCACATTTATTCTTACACAATACATACAATTAAAGAAAACAGGAAGCTTTGGTATAATAATGAAGTATCATACGAGAAGAAAGAGAATTTAAAATCTTGTACGTCCAACATTCCAGAATATTTATTTGCTAAAAAAAAAAAAAAAAAAAAGAAGAAAATAGAGGAAGGGAAAAAAATGTATAGTATAAATTTGCTAACTTGGTATCCGGTTTCACACACCAAACGACCATATATAGTTGCTTAACGAATAATTCTTTCACAGCGCGTGAACCGAAATTGACAGTTCGAAGGAAATTCGTTCGAGATAATTAGAAAAAACTTATTTCTCTAGTACTGTCAATTACGTCAATTGTGTACTTCAAACTTTAAATAAATATCTTTTTCTCTCTTTTTCTCGATAAAAATAACAGGACAACAAGCGTCAACAGGAGAGCAACCGATAACAGTATCGAGATTATGCCTGGGATGTATATGCGAGGCTGCTTCTGGATGTAACGTTACAATCGGTTGTGACGAATCTGTCTGCGGGCCGTTTCGTATAACGTGGGGTTATTGGGCCGATGCTGGCAAACCTGCTCTCAACGACAACGCGAATGAAAATGGTTCGTATTTCTGTATTATGATTTTATGTATTATCGTATAATAAACAGAGATGTGTAAAGATAGTAGAATAATAGAAACACCTGTTTTTCATTCAGCTTACGCGCAATGTGTGAACGATCCTTATTGCGCAGCTCGCACAGTACAGGGCTACATGGCGAAATTTGCTCAAGTACGTGACATACACACAAGCTCGTGTATACAGGTTAACATACATATATAATGCCTGTACATACCTTTACTTTTTTATTTGTGTGTTTCCATAGGATTGTAACGGCGATGGCAATGTCAATTGCGACGATTTTCTTCGTATTCATCGATTCGGAGGATACGGATGCACTGGCCGTTTGAATTCAAAATACGAGAACACTTATAAGCTTTGCATGCAGACTTTTAGCAAAGAATAACTAAATAAATAATAATGCAAGAATATTTTATTTTATAGGCTATACTGCGTATAAATGCTTGTGTATCTCAATGAATTATGAAAACTAATGTATAAAAATTATTTTATTCGAAAAAAAGAGCGAAAGAACGCAAGAGTGTAAGAATTTTATTCGAAATACATTCAGAAACATATTATCGATGATACTTGGCTGTGATCAGTTTGTTGTTTCAATATGAAACATTAGTATTACTATAAATTACTTTGGATATGTTACTACATTTTTAACAGAATTATTACATTTTGTTGTATTCCAAATCCAATTATTTAAAATCCAATTTTTGATCCGTGTAAAATTAATAGTTTATCTACCAATTCGATTCTCTCTTTTAGCATTGGTCTCTGCTTGTCTGACATATTATACGAATGTAAATTTTTTATTAAAAAGCAGTTTATAAACAAACGAAGGCTCTCTCTGAAAGTCTGTAATTGAGAAGAAACAGAGATTCTTTCAAATACTTGCAAACAAGCTTGTTTATTTTCGTGCAAAAGAATTCCTAATATAATTTGTTCAAGAAATTTCATAGTAGGTCTTTCCAGTTCGGTAAAATGAATAACCTGCAATAGAATAAGAATACGTGATATATGCAAACATTTCTCAATTACTAAAAATTGTAGTACTTACTTTTAAAATTGATATAGCAAGACATTTTTCAATAAATAAGTGAATTAAAAATTGTGCCAAATTAGATAACTGTTTATTTTCGTATGTCTCCAGTGTTTTTAATTTGTCCCAAAGACTATATTGTATTGTAAGCTGAATCAAGCAAAAATTTATCATTATGTTAAAATCTTATTGATCATCGATTATATACAGAACAGAAAAAAAAGTTGATCAGAATTTTCAAGAAATAACTTCAAAATTAATCTTAATTATTGTCGAGTATGAAGACTACGCATGCATAACTTAATAACGATATTAATTATTTTATATGCAATGTAACTTGAAAATCGAATGTAAAACGTAATATCACCAAATACCTGATATTTTCTGTTATATTCACACAACTTTTGAGCTAATACTGCGTAATAAGGATTAAACTTATTTTCTTGTAAGCAGCAATGCATTACAACATGTATGATTTCTTGTTGATCCTTCAAACCAAGATGATGCAGTTTTTCAAACGCATCTAAATAATCTTCAGCCGTCACAAGGATACAGAAAATATTTTTCCTTATATCGGTATTCATTCTCTGTTTTCGTGCCAATTCCAGAATTTTTGTACCGAAATTAAGCTCGTGTCCTTTTGCAACTGATTTGCTATTCGCGTTACTCGGGCCAGACCATGCTGATCCTATGATCCACCACTTTCCATTCTCATCGGCTGCAATAAGAAGTAGCTAAATTATCAACTAACTTATCAATGTAAGCATCGTGTTTTGATCACTTACCGTACAACAAATCCGTCAGAGATACATTGAATGGTGTTATTGCATTACCTTTGCGTATTATGCTTTTCATAACTTTTTTCAAATGTTCCACGTGAGAAGGATCATATTGAGGTATTTTGCTGATGTTATTATTTTTTATGGCTAATAAAATTTCCAACATAAATTTAACTCTTGAACTGTGTGATAATAATTATTATTAAGTCAACTTCTATAATAATTCTCGTTCTCTACGTATATGTGTACTTATGTACGTATGTATTTAAAAAACATGTAAAATTACCTACTTTCTTTCAGTCTCGTGACCAGCCTTTCGTTGCAGATTTTGTATAAATTCTTTTAAAGCATTCGGATCGTCCTTTCTCAATGAAAATCCCACTGTTTTCAGAATAATTAGTATCAATTCAATTTCTTTTTCCGTAAACTTCATCGCCAATTTATCAAGTATCTGATAAAGAAGTTTATATCCAAATACCTACGCGCAATAAATTTAAAAATATTATTCACTTTTACGTCTGTTTAACACATTTACGACTGTCTCGTTTAATCAAATTTCCATACTTTAAAATTATATAAATGTGAAATCATAAGAACGATGTTATCCAATTCTTTGTTTGCTACATCTTGCGACTTCTCCAGTGTTCGAATGAATTGTTTAACGAGTTTCTCTAAAAAATGAGCACCTACTTCGATACCAATATTTGCATGTAATATCACGATTAGCATCATGTACTCAGAAACAAGACGATCTGGTGTGATCACGTGCAACACTAAGCTTTCAATTATCAATTTCGATAGTACCTCGTTCATGTTATTACGACTATTTGTCATATACATCGCTTCAATCTGTAATTAATAACATAATGCATGAATCGTAATAAACAAATCCATCGTAAATACATATATTCAATTACAATATACACGGAATCACTTTAATTCGTTGTATCACTCGTACAATTACCTGGTTTGCTATACTGTACATATTATGTTCTGTCACTCTGTTTAAACATCCTTTCAATTGTTTTTCTAACAATTGCAATTTTTCATCATCTGGATTTGTACCATGTACAGTGTTTATTCGCGCAGCAGGTGGGATGTATTTATTGGCATTGTCTATAACATTACCTTTTTTATCTCTTTTTCGTCCATAAATATCTTCCCATGTATCTTTGTCGTTAGTGTCGATGTCGTTAGATTTCTTTGTTTGTGTTGATTTTATTTTTTTATTCTTTGGTATTTGTGCCAGTTTATTCGAATCACTCTTATTCTCACATTGTTTTTTGACAAATGTAACAGAACCAACATTTTCATCTTCACTTTCATTAATAATATCTAGTTTGCTATCTGTACATTCGTTTCTTCCCGCTGTTATCAAGGAATTTACATCAGAGTTGACATTGAATTCATTTTCTAAAATTTGCTTCTCTGTCTCTACGATACAGTCCTTATCTTTTCTTAAACAAAAGTCTAAAAGATCTGATCACATATATGCGAGTTAAGGAAATTTCGTGAAAGCAATAATTTACATTTGTAAATATAATATATATAAGCTACAATACGTATGAAAACATTTTTTGTTGTCGAATAATAGAAGGATACAATCCAAACCATCTGATACAAAAGACTTTGAAACTGTCTCCTTTTTCTTCTTGTTCAATTTCAATTGTTTTTCCAATCTTTTAATTTCTTTGTCTTCCTTTAGATTGGCTGCTTTGAGTAATCTATTTTTTTCCTTTCTTCGTTGATGTTCAAGGTCTTCGAGTTTTCTTCTTTTCGTTTCTTTTGTACAATTCTTAGGTCCTTCTTTCACACTCTTATCAGTCAGTTTGCTGTGATCCACCTGACTGTCACTGGCGTGTGCAGACGCAGCACGTGATTCATTTTTACTTTTGAAATAAATTGATCTATTGATTTTTTTCTGTTTTCTGAGCTCCTTGCGTATTTGCTTACGAGATTTTCCTACTGATTTCACGCTTGACCGTTCCACTTTTTTAGGTTTCAATTTCATCTTCGTTTTATTAAGTTAGATAGGTTATGTATACAGACAGGTAGGTTTCCATTTGAGATACTTCCTGAAGTCTTAATTACCTAACCTAACTTTTTCATTTTATATATGTAATTCTCTATGATCGGCAGCCATAATGGAGATAATTGCTCCATCTGGTGTCGCGTATATATAAGATGTTTCACATCTTCTATCTTTACAACTGCAGTGGTTGCAGCTGATCAATAAATCAATGGCGATCGTAGGTTAAGTAGCACCGCTTCTGACCCGCTATAGGATGGTGCCACCACTTTAGTGCTACCTGCCTTAAGATTTCTTCATCCAAGTGTTTGAGAAGAAGCGGTTCAAGACGAAACACAAACTTTCTTAATACGTTAAACGCCCGACCAGGGACCGGCTTTAGACTTCTCGTTTACGCCATGTCGGTCACTAAGTCATAGTATTTAGGTTCGTTCTCTTATTTTTTGTAAATAGTTGACGCATCACACACGGCCGTCTCCATTTGATGGCAGAATGCGGCGTGAACGGAACGACAAACAAAATAAGCTTGACGTTTGAATCTCAAATTTGTCAACGTGATACTGTCTTCCTCATGTCCATTCTTCATTCTCTCCACCTGAGACATATTAAAATTTTATTTACTCTTTCCTCTTTCCATCAATAAAACAATGAAGTTTTAAATAAACTTATTTTTTTGTGAACTTATTCTTTACGAAGAACAAATTGAAAAATGACGCGAATGTTGGTTGCACGTTCAAACAAATCATCATCTATTGCGAACACTTTCCCGGTAAGATGTTTAAAACGATAATTGCGTATAATTTTTTTTTTTTTT